CAATAGAACAACATTAGGGTGCATGATTTTCTCTTTAACTTAGTACAAAAAATAATAACCCGAATCGTATTAAATGAGATTAGATATATAAAAAGTAAATACCTACCCTAAACTTAAACTAGCTCTAACTCTACCTAACCTAATCGAATCTAAACTAACTCAACCCACCCCAAAAAAATATTGTACATCCAGCACAAAAACATATCATGTTAAAAATATTATTCGCATCCCAGCGTTCTTGCCTATGAAGGAACAAAGTAAATATTATTTCAAGAAATTTACATAATTTTTTAAAATATGATTTTCTGCCTTTGCTTTGTCTTTAGTTCAAGATTATATATATCAGTATAGAATTGGAAAATAATAAGCACTCTTTAAGCCTTTAAACACTAACTTTCGTAACAAACAAAAAAATCTAGATTTTTAGGCTGGATTCCTCGGGGAGGGGGGCAATTTATTTTCTCCAGTGCCCTGTTGTTCCACTTTTTCATTTCAACCAAGACCTTACATAAAAAGAATAATTAATTACCAATAAGTAATTTGGTCAATCAGACCACTAAACATAATGAGGTTATTACAAATATTGGAAAGCATAATTTTTGTTCTTTCAATCTATGTCAACAATATTTGTATTTTATGTCATTATAAAATAAAAAAATAAAGTTAAATAATTAAAAAACACCTTAAAGTTTTTAATTTATTTTTCTTGGTATAATATATTTACAAAAGCCAAATTTATTCTATTAGGTAGTAAATCCTTTACAGTATAAATCCTTCTAAAATTAGAGGAGTCTTTCAAAGATATAACCACCTTTTTGTGATTTTCGAGAAAAAAGTAGTAAAATTTGTATTTCTCTATCTAGGCTAAAAACGATGAAGATCAAGCTACATTTATCGGTAGGTTGCTAGTAAAAGGAATAAAAAAAAACTTTTAAAGAAGCAACAATCGGACACAGCCACCATCCAAAAATGAATCAGTAGGTTTTTGTTGCTAGTGGTGAAAAAGTAAAAATTCTTAAACAAGAAGGTTTTAGAATAGCTTTTAGAGGTACGTGTTCACTTAGAAACACCCACACAAAACCTAAAGACAACGTTGACAACTTGGCTAAAAGCTCGATTTAACAACTTAATTGGAATGATTGCGACATTAAATATGTACGACAAAGCGGTGGAGAAATTATGAGGAAAGTTAAAGAACACTTGCCTAAATCGAACAAATTTTCTGAATTTAAGGACGATCTAAATGAAACGAAAAGCAATTTAATTTAAATTAAATAATTTTTGCTTTTTTTTACAAAAGTATTTACTTTTATGCTACAAGTAAAATTGTTGACACGTAAAGTTGAAAATAAACTAAAACAAAATCTGGGATTATTTGGCACTAGGATGTGAAGAATCACCCAGTGGTGACATTTCACTGTAGGGTCTAAGTGCCGTGACTTCCTGCCCAACAGGTCGCGAGGCCACTGGTGCTTCAGTCTCCTTGGGGGATTATTGAGTAGAGTTCGGGATGTCAGATTTAAAATTAAGGGATTAGGGTGTAATGAAATGGAGTCGTAGAATTTTATTTATCGGGATATTATGACATCTTTCACAAAAGGAATTTTAAGGTCATTGTGTGGTTAGATACGTAGAAGGGAGCGTATTTTTCTGAGGATTTTGGAATGGGAACTCTGGAAGCAATGATAGTTGAATGTTTGGTTGAACCCCACAGTTCAATGCCGTATGTCCCAATGGGTTTAATTATTGCCTCGTATAACAGTCGTTTGTTGAGAAGTGTCAGTTTTGATCAGTCTAGGAGTCGTGAGAGTGTTTTGTAGCGATTAGTTGTGTATCTGGAATCTCTTAGTTTTGAAAGTCCAATTTTTAATTTAGTCATCGGTTTGTTAAGAAGTTGGCGGTCTGAGGAGTTCCTCGATAGGATAGAAATCACGAGTTCACAGGATAGGCTATGGTCTGAGGATAAGTCATACAAATTTTGGATGAAGGGAAGATTACTGGGAGCGAATGAAGAAGTCCAAAATGCCGGGGCGTTTGGTCTGGTAAATAGGCCAGTAAATTAATACTGATTAGATGAATTGGATAGGATACGACCTCGGGGATTATTGGCTGTAGCCCCATTGAGGATGTTTCGCGTTGTAGTCGCCATTTGAAAGATATTTGGCTATAAGGATTGAAGGAAGTTAAAAGTTGTTGTTGTGTGATGACTGGGTGTACTACAATGTTAAAGTAAAAAATTAAATTAAAATACAACAGTGTTACACAGTTTCAAAGGGTGGGAACTAAATTGCTCAAAAATGAATAGGGATGTTTGTAATTTATTCTTATTGTATTAATTTTAATTAAATTAACCGCTATCTTCTTGTTAGTTGGATAAAAAAAAAATAGAAGAAAGAAATCAAAAACTAACAAATGTTACTCCTCATTTTTTTTAAATAACGGATTTACTTAAGAATAGTAAACATGAGGGGCGTCGGTGGCCGCAAGGTTTAGTCTTTGACACGGCGCTCATCACTGTAAGGTAAAGGTCCCGGGTTCGAATCCAGCGGCCCTGCATTCGAACCCGACATACTTCCAAATGGGCTTTTTTTTAAAAACACCGGCACCCTGAGGGTTTATATGACCCCTGCTGTTGCGAACCCTCGTTAAAAAAAGAAAAAAAGAAGAAGAATAGTAAACATGAAGATTACACATTTTGTAAACAAACAACTTTTCTCCATTTTAAACCAGTTGTATTCTCTTTAAACATGGAAACATATCATCTTGAACTAGAACTTCTCAATATTATTGGGAGAATGAGTCATCGAGGTCACCGGCAAGTGGATATCGCAGCGGCAGTTGGCGTTTCTCAGTGCGTGGTCCTTAGCTGGCTTTAGCACGATTCCAAGAGACTGGAAGTGCCAAAAGGAGGCTTGGTAGTAGTCTCAGCGCATTACGGCGCTAAGGGAGGATAGATATAATGTCATTGTTGCAAGACAGAACCCTTTCAATAGTGCCCGCCAGATCCTAAATTAAGTACAAAATGTGTAGAGGTTAGTGACCGTTAATCGATAGTTATTCAGATATCGTGAGATGCGGTCGGGTGTGATGTAGGTTTCAGAAAAACATTTTCTTTATCGTGCCAACGTTTCGATCTTTTATTGAGATCATCTTCAGGGCTCAAAGTGTTGTCTTCTGTGTAATTGTGCCATCCTCTCAACACAACACTTAAGGATGGCACAATTACACAGAAGACAACACTTTGAGCCCTGAAGATTATCTCAATAAAAGATCGAAACGTTGGCACGATAAAGAAAATGTTTTTCTGAAACCTACATCACACCCGACCGCATCTCACGATATCTGAATAACTAAGTACAAAATGTTTTGGCAAAGCCTTTACCAAACAAACGATTCCTAATCGTTTGTTGGAAGTTGGCCTCACATCGTATGCTCCTTTGAGACGACCTGCAGCAACAGCAAGCCACCAGTAACTCAAGACAATATGGTGCATCGAACGCCTAGAAGAGAACACCAATTGGAATGTTGTTGTGTTTAATGACGAGCCGCGTTTCTGTCTGTATAGTGATAGCAGGCGCCGAAGAGTCTACCGATAACAGGGGATGCGTACAACGCCCCATTCGTGCTCCCTTCAGAGCAGTTTGGAGAAAGCGGTGCAATTGTATGCTGGGCTTTACATTGGAGGACGAATTGGACTCCATATTGTTGCAGGTAACCTTACCGCAGTCCGTTATGTTCGTGACATTATCGAGTAATACATCCCTCAAACCAGGGATCGCATTGGCAGGGATTTTCGATTTCTGGATGACAATGCCAGACCTCATAGAAGCAGAGTTGTTCATAAATGTTTAGAAAACAATTTCTCATCTGCCCCTTCCCCTATTATCTCCAGACCTCAATCACATTGAACACATGTGGGATGCGTTGCAGAGAAGGCTTTTCGATTACCAACCGCAGTCAGTTGACCTGCAACAACTGAGTTCAGCGTTGCAACATCGATGGAGTGAAATTCCTTATGAAATTAGTGACAACCTTATTATCAGTGTGCCTTACATGTGCACAGAGGTTTTAGCTAACAGGGGACATTATATTATTACAGTATTAACGGTTTAAAAAAAATTATAGAATTAAAACTTTTGTTATTTTTCAAAATCCCTTAATTAAATTTTCCTTCCGTAAAAACATAATAATTTCTATTAAATTTTAATGCAATTTATAATAAAAATAACACGAAAATGCTAGGGAAAGTAAATACTACAAAATGAGCAATATCCCTATATAGATTGGGGAAATTTGAAAAAAATGAAATTAAAAATTAGAAAAATGCATAACTAATATAATATATATTTTGATTCCATTTTAAACATGTATCTAAATAAATCTGACATACTACATAATTAATCACAATTTAAAATTATTTTGTCACCTCATTTATTATGATAATATTTAGTAGTGTTATAATTCACATTTTTCGCACGTTCAAAATTGTGCGGCATCAAAAACCAGCTTCTCATTGGAACGTCGCGATGGCGGGTTCATTCTTACAATTCATATGTGGAGACGTATTTGTAACTTCTTTAACCTGATAATGAGCGTTTAATGCTCGAAACCTGTTAGTTGAAAATAACAAATTGGGAGGAAGAACTATCTTTTGGAAATATTTATTCTTTTATTGTAGTGTCGTTTTAAACTGTTTGCATTCATGTCATGACAAGAAAGGAACGGGTTGCGTGCAACCTCCACATAGAACATAAGTAATAATCTATGTAGAAGAGATGGAATACGTGCTTCCTTATTTCGAAGGGCGAAATTTAATTTTGGCCAAAGCCCTTCTCATGCTGTTTGGCCCTCGGTTCCCTTTTTCGTTCGAGGGTTTGTAAGAGAGCCGTGAGAAGGGCCGGTCGTCCAGGCCCAGCCAGTATGAAAGGGGGCTTTGGGGGCTTTTTCGGACTTGCGCCCTCGGCGTGCTTATTGCTTCGCCTTTGGGGCAGTAGAGCGGCGCGGGTGCCGGGACATGCAGCACCGTTCCTACATCATTCTAACTCACTACAGTGCCTTCTTCCTCAAAACACATGTAAGTCAATTTATTTCCGGCAGTGTGAACCTACAACTGAACGATATTAACGAACGGTCCTACCGCTTCGGTCATTTTGTTCGAACGGCTCGAGAAAAGACGGCCTTCACTCACAAAAACTACATACAATTTTTCAGTTTTAGTATTTTTTGAAAATTTCCTTAAAAATAGTCAAATTTTTGAATCTGAGACAAGTCACTACATACCGAGCTTGCGTTATATATTTCAAGGCTCGTGAAATATAAATCACGGTTGTAAACATAAATTTTGAAAACATGTGATTTACGATGTAAATATTATCACGGGCACCTTCCCCTAGTTCAAAATTTTTATATAGCAGAGGGAACAAATTTAAAAGACTAAAGACAAATCTTAAAAATCAGGATTATAAAAATATGAGTTCTGATTGGCGTTTAATTTAAATACTTAATTAGTTTACATTCCGGGCTAAATTATTTTTAAAAAAATGTCAGACGCTTGAGTTGTGCATTAGCATTCACAAGAAGAAATGATTTGTTTCTTTAAAAAAATTAAAAAAATCACGAAAGATTTTATGTAAATGTTTACACCAAGAGAGAAACAAAACCGTGTATGTTTACATTCATAATATCATACATGCTGTCCTTATAGAAATGGCATATAAAACCGGTAGAATGTATACCGGTATTTAATTTTGAAACTATTTATTCTTTTTGTATAATTAATTTGTATTAGTGTTATTCAGTTAGTTTAATTAGTGTTAATCAGAATCGGAATCCAGTTAGTATTGTGCCATTAACGATTTGCATAAGATATTATCTTAATGACGTCCTTGTTTAAATCGCTTAATTTTATTAATTTGATACATCTTATGCACTGAAAAAAAATTTCTCGTCGAATACCGAAAGTAAATTTTTTAAAATGTTTTAACTTCTTAAGGGCAGATTTTAATTAAATATTCTATGCATTAAACAATTGTTTTAAACAGTTAGACGCTCTCCTTTAGAGCATAAACTGAAAATCGCTCAATTAAATAAATCATTGTTAGTTAGATAAGTTGCAGTATGGATGAATAAGGACGGCATAATAGTCATCAACTTAAAAAAATTGTTATTCTGATTAACATCTGCGCAAGGTTGTAAGGCTTGATAAACGAAAAAGTATATATTTGGTGGTTTTGTTTCTATTTTTGTTTTGTTTTCTTTCAATACGCAACAGACGGTTCAAAAATCTGTTGCAATTAATAAAACAAGTGCAAGTAATAAAACAACAGCAATCAATTTCAAAATAACACGTTAGTTTTTACAATTTTTTAAGGTGTCTTTCGATCTTATATATTTATATACCACTCGCAGATCCAAAAATCTGTCAATTATAAATTAACTTGCTCTGTTCGAGATCGAATGAACGGACAGACAAAAAAGTGAGGAAGAATCAAATTGTTTTAATGGACACTAGTTTGATCAGGTCTGATCATCTCTATTCTCACTGTATAAAGTATAGGGTGCCTCGAGTGTCTTGGAGTTAATCAATTATCGTGTTTATTGATGAAAGACTAATAAAAAATAAATCACACTGAATTATCGGTTTAAAAGATAATTGTAGACATCGTAAGGTCGAAGGTTAAATGGTGTCGCCCTCTTTACGACCTTACGCATCGCGAATAGTATTAGTCAAGCCTTGCTTTTTTTAAAGGCTCCGTGTTTGTGCGCTTTACCTCACCCTGTAGGAATCTCACCCATCATAGGTCTTCGCACCGACAGAGGTCATATTTTGTCTTTTTACTGCTTTCTAGATTGCGACTAGAATGTATTGTGAGATCTAGAAGGCAGAGGTGATTTTTTAGAAGGTTATAATTTGAAAGTCAGGTTATAAGAAGCAGACATCTTTATGACGTAGCGTACCTGACTAATGTTGGTTTATTGTTCCATTTCTAGCATTGTTTAGAGGTTTTCATTAGGCTTAAGGATTTTTTACCAGAACCCAAAGGTTTGGAAGGGATCACGGATCCTTCAGGCCTGGGTTTCCCTCCCCCAGTAGGAATTTCAGCTTGCATAGGTCTTCGAACCGACAGAGGACTTTTTGTCTTTGTACTGCTTTCAATGCAAATCATGGCGGCTAGAATGTGTCGCGAGATCTAGAAAGCCGAGAAAGGAACAGGTGAAAAAACAAAAACAAAAAACAATCGGCAATGTTATACTTTATTATCATGACCCGTGAATTAAATAACTGTATTAATTAAGTGTAAGAACTGGGTCAAAAAGGGCAACACAACTTACGTATGTTACAAAATAAAGTGCTAGATTAGGGTTTAGTCAATTTAGGTTATTAAGCAGGCATCTTTATGAACTTGCGCAACCCGACCAATTGGTCTATTGTACATTGTCTAAAGCTCATCCTTAAGAGTTTTTTTTTACCAAAGTCTATATGCCTCCAGAGTCTGTACTATTCTGGTTTTAACAAGTCCTAGCTTTACTAGTCTTTTTAGTCTCTTTAATAGTACGTTTATGAACTCTTTTGCATGTCTTAGGATACATTCCCACGAAACGAAGAATTTTTAACCCACTGTCTGATGGATCTAAGTCAATTTCGTTTGCCGTAAAAGGGTTCAGGATTGATAGCTGTCCAACTTTTGTTGGACAATTTATCGAACTCCTCGTTGCCCCTCTGTTCTGGTACCCAAACACGGGTGATTTTGTGGTTTTCCGTAATTTCTGATAGGGACTTGTTGCAGTCCCAAACTGTTCAGAACCTGACTACCTATGGGGCCGGCTTTAGTGCTGCTGGCTCCGAATTATTTGTTGTTACGTCCTTTGCTGGTAATACCTGGTCTTTTGACTTACCTGGAACAGTGTTTAATAGCAGTGTTTTAGTCTTATGTACGGAATCGAACTAAGTCTTTATCTAAGTGAAGTCCCAAGTAAAGTACCTGTTTGACAGGGGGTAGTGAGTTTTTGTTCTTCGTGAATTTATTTTAATATTCCACTTTTCAGCTCAAATGTCGAAGCACTGAAAATAGTTTTGAAGCATTTGTAATGCAGTGACGCAATATTTATGCTGCGAAAGGATTGCTGTATCGTCAGCAAAAGTGGAGAGGATTGTTTCTTGGAGTATAGGAATGTCAGAAGTGTATATATTCTAAAAGATAGGTCCTCGAATGCTCCCTTGTGGGCCGCCAGCTCGGATAGGTTAGCTTTGTCTAACGCTGAAGTAAAGGTCACACAGGCGATTTTAGGATTACTACCTAGTAAGTACGTGCTTGGTACGATGCTCTTCTTCTACAGGAGGCCGAGGTGCCAACCCTGAAGGCTTGAGCGATACCACAATGTTTGATACCATAAGTTTATATAAATTTGAGGATCATGGTGTATAACATCTTTTGCATTTTAGTGGATTTTTGGCGTGAATTAAAAAACCATTTATTTTATATCACTGGCTTTACCAAATAGTAAAATTGAAATTTTTCCTCGAATAATTTTGTCACAAGGATTTGTTATTTTTTTAATCTGTTGTCCTTAATTTTGTAAAAAAATAAATGAATAAAAGAGCGACGTAGTTGCTATTTGGGTCTGGAGTCGGTTATGTTTCTGTTTGCATAAATCATATATGTGTCTTCTTGTATTTTTATTTAATTATAATTAAGGTTTGAAATTTTGATGGTTATAGTTTTTTCCAGCCGTCAAAACTGAATCATTACGAATGTCTTCATACCTTGGCATTAAAAGTTTTGAGAAAAACCTGAGCTTTTTTTTTATTTTCCGTTTGTCTCCTCCTCGTTTTTTCCACTTAGCTGCAAACCTGTCAAGCTCTCCTGAGACCCCTCCCCACAACTCGTTACTTTCTACCTTCCACTATACTTTCATTTTGGGACGAAAATAATCTCTGAGAGACGTTGTTTTTCCTTCCCCAGTGGGGAAAATTCTTTTATACAGTTTAATATCTGTCTTCAAGGAAGTGTGAAAATTGAAATTCGCTCGGTGGCGTAATAAACTTGTCGGTCTCACCGATAAACTGGTATTTCTTCGTTAACCCTGAACCCTACTGAGACATCACATTATTAATCCTTTTTGTAAAAAATATTCTTGGCTTTGATGAAAACCAGAAGTCAATACTTGAGGAGGTTATCCTACATGTCAAATTAGACGAAAAAGTACCTATTATCCAAAGTCTGATTCTTAATTGTATTCGATATATTTTCACTTGTCAGGTTACTTTATTCTTTCACAATTTAACGTTAATCCTACTTTAACTTGGATAACACCAATGAAAACTGCATTGAAAATCCCATGAGATTCATTTTTTTTATTCTGACCTTAAAAAAACTTAGAATGTAAACTTTTACGTCTTTGAAAAGTTCTTGTCTAAAGTTTAAGTAAAATTTTCTCAGTTCTGTAAATATCGACAAATATGGCACTGAATGGTGTCTCGAGATTTTCACGGTCGGATTTTAGTTTTCACACCGATAAAATTGAAAGAGGAGCTTTTGCAACGTAGGTGAAAGTGAAAGTTGAAAAATTACATAAACAGTAAACACAACTACAAGCTACCTAACCTTACTCTTTCCTAACTCTAACCTAACCTAACCTCCTAACCCAACCTTACCTTACATAACTTGTTCCTACCTAACCTAACCATTCCTCAGGGTTTTGAAACTATTAAGAAAGATTTATTGTATATATGGTTTAACAAAAACAAACATTTTACGGTGTGGCAGTAACAGAAAAATTATAAACGTTTATGGGGTTTTAATCGTACAATCATAGAACTTTTGCTTCACAATGGACAGAAGTCATGTGGTGGTCAATACTTCTGACCTGAAAAAAATGCTTCAAATATAGATGTATAGATATTGTACATATTTATTGCATCTTGTACATAAGATATTGTACATAATTAATTTTATTGCAACATAAGCTTATAAGTTATAAAATATAGACAAGTTATTAATTGGTTGAGGAATTTGTACAGGATTTAAATGAAATCCAGTCTGCATTAAATGCCAATGTGAAATAGTATTTGGG